GATTGCTGGAGAGTAAATTATATTTGTTGGGATGTGGAGCTAATATTATTTATAGTAATATTTGGTAGACATATATAGTAGATATTTGGTCGGCTGTTAAATCTGTTGGATATGGAGTCTATGACAAATATACCGTAGATATTTGGAATCTGTTGATATGGAGTAGGACGACTATAAATATACGGTAAAAGATTATATGCACATAGTGCGTGTGGCGTGGGGGTGGTGGTAGAGGACGGTTGACAGCGGCGCGGTGGTGGAATTTGCACGGTGAGGCGGTGTCAGAACGTTTCCGCGCGCTCGCCCGCCCCGCCCAACCCGCGTGTTCCCGCACGCCCCCCACCCCCACCCCGCCCGCGTGCTCCTGCGCGCGCCCAACCCCGCCCCGCCCGCGTTCTCTTGCGTGCGCCCCGTCCCGTCTGCCCGCGTGCTCTAGTGCTCGTAGGGATATATACCGTACTCTCAATATTTGGAAGTGAAACATTTTTAGGTAGTGCTTTTCTCTATGAGTGTACATGTCTGAAGTCATCAATACAAATCCTTTAGCCAATATTACTCCTTGCATTTTTTCTCTTCTATTTATTTGTGTTCATCTTGATCGAGTGTGTGCATTGTTGTGCGATCGTAACAATATTGTGAATAAGAATTACTGTCATCTAATACTTTACATATGTGCAGCGACATTTGCTCAACTATGTTGTGAAGGCTTTAGTCGAAAACGTCGTCCAAATCTTAGAGGTGGCTTTCCATTGCCAATTGAGTCATCTTGTCACTCAATGTGTAGACCGAATAGCTCGATCTGATCTCGATTATGTTTCTCTCGAGAAAGGACTTCCTCATGAGGTTGTGGAAAGCATTAAATTGGTTCGAGCAAAACCTTGCTCCGACCGTCCTTGTGATAAGAGAATCAAGAAAATATGGCAGGCATTAGATTCAGATGATGTTGAACTCATGAAACTTCTTTTATCCGAATCAGATGCAACGCTAGACGAAGCCGATGCACTGCATTATGCTGCAGCATACTGTGATCCCAAGACGTTGTCTGAGGTTCTTAAACTGAGGATGGCTGATGTAAACCTCCGGAATTCACGTGGCTATACCGTTCTTCATGTTGCTGCGATGCGTAAGGATCCATCGGTGATAATATCGCTCCTTAACGAGGGAGCGTTGGCAACGGATTTGACGTTAGATGGTCAGACTGCTGCGGATATCTGTCGGAGGTTAACACGGCCAAAGGATTATCATGCTAAGATAGAACAAGTGCAGGTAGCAAACAAAGACCGTTTGTGTATTGACATTTTAGAGAGGGAAATGTGGAGAAATCCAAGTTCAGATTCATCCATTCTTTCCTTGACGATGGCTGGTGATCTCCACATGAAATTGATTTGCTTGGAAAACAGAGGTAATGTTTTTTGAGTTATTTTGATCAATTTTGTTGCATCTCCAAACTGATATCATGAACTCATTCATAAATATTGTCATGTTCTAATGCAGTAGCATTTGCTCGACTACTCTTCCCGTCCGAGGCCAGGGTAGCTATGGACATTGCCAATGCGGACACAACTTCCGAGTTTTCTGGGTTTTCTATCCCGAAAGGTTCGAGTGAAGTCGACTTAAATGAAAGCCCAAGTGTTCAGAACCAAAGATTTCTTTCCAGAATTCAGGCCCTTATGAAAACAGGTTATTGAAAAACATATCAACCTATTTCTTTCTTGTTATACGTTTCTTGTACCGAGTCGTTTTACTACTCGAAAAACGCTGTTCTTAATCAGAAGAGTGCTCGGATATCTCATGTAAAGTAACTTTCTTGGTGGCAGTGGAAACGGGTAGGCGTTACTTCCCGAAATGCTCGGAAGAACTGGATAAGTTTTTGGAATTTGACCTTCTTGATCTAGTTTACCTTACGAAGGGGACTGTCGAGGAGCAACGGATTAAGCAGAAGCGTTTCAGGGAGCTTAAAAATGATGTTCAGAAGGCATTTGACAAAGACAAGGCTGCCAACCTCAAACGATCTGGGTTGTCTCCGTCGTCGTCGTCGACATCGTTGAAGGATGGTGCCAACCCACAGAAGGTCAGGAGACGATAAAGGTAGTATGTATTTTATGTACAATAAAGTGAAAGTTAGAGGGTTCTTGTTTAGGAAAAGAAATGCAAACTTAGAAGTTTTGCTCTTTGTATAATGAGTTAACTATACATTGAAAATCTTGTGTTGATTCTCTCTATGTTGTAACATAACTAACCGTACTGTCCTTGAGATGCTCGAGACGTTCACCCACATTCTGACACACGTATGTGTCATAGGGTACACACTTACGCCACATGGCTTAGGGGTGGTGGAGAGCTGACACCATGTCTCCACCTATAGTACATTTTGAGGTCTTTCCGATCATTTTTTAGTCGACGTCATTTTGGCGAGCGGTCATACGACTGCGTGCATCGTTTTTCGAGTATTCGATTGACACCCAATTTGGGGAGCTTTCATTTTTCATATAGACGGACGTAATTCCAGAGCCGCATGCCAAAACTCATATCGGAACTCTGACTTCTGAGGTTATGGCTCGGGGCTCTATCCGACCCGTTTCAAGCTTGTCTTCGGCACTCGTATTGCCTCGTTCTCTCGAACCTTGCGTATACCTCGACTTAGCTTGGATGCACACTCTTGCAGTGTTGGATAATACATCGTCCTCCTCGGTTGCATCATGACACTTCTCAATCTTGGCCCTCACATGGCTGGATGGACGACACTTGAGGGATGTCCTTGTCTGTCTTACGTGTGGGGTCGCAACCTACTTGCCCAATGGCTATGGGCTATCCCTCCATGGACCTAACTTCTCCCACTTTTTAGACTCGGCTCAGGACTCCCTAGACAAACCATGAAAAAAACTAGCATCAGCATTCCTAACTTGAGCTTGTGGGAGCACGTTCCAAACGTGGCCATCATGGCCCAAACCGTCATATTCTCTAAGCCTTATAGAGATCTGTATCACGACATTCTCTCGTCATGGTTACATCCCTTTGTAGGGGCAATGTGGGTTTGTACCACGACCTTCTCTCGTCATGACCACAAACCCTTTCGGAAGCAAGGTCTTGAAGCTTGTAACTAAGCCCCATGTTAGCGCTACACTTCAACCAACTTCTCAACTACTAGCCACCTTCATGTGGCAAACGTTGTACTAACACTTCTTTGGTCTTGTTACAGCTTTGTTTACTGTGTCGCCCACATCCAGCTTGATGCTCTCTTGAGTTTGGTTCGTGCTTCATTGACGGGCAAGACTCCTCCTCAAGACAAGCAAAACTCCTCCTCAGGGAGTCTAGTTTTTCACCCACAAAACAATTATTGATTATGACGTACAACTGTCCTGCCCAATTAGGCACTCGTGACACACTTGCAAATTTTTCATTAAACCCTCGGGTTCTTTGTCTTTTCCAACTTAGACACACAAGTATGACTTTGATATCAACTGTCATGATCATACTTCTTCAATTGTGCGATATCGTGATCTTGACATGCTCACAACAATTCTTGAGGGAGAACTCAAGCCTCATTCACATTTTTTGCCCACCTTTGTGGCTTTATCGAACCTTAGGTGGGGTTTGCCGTCGCCAACCAAACACAACTTGTGCAAGATCCAAGTTTGTTTGGTCACACACGCCCCACGGTCTTCACTCTAGGCCAAGGTCTCTCATAAGCAACGTTTGCAGCATCTCATTGTCATATCAATTCCCACCCAACAGCTCTACCATCTTGGCTTGTGTCACTTGGGACAGCTCTACCATCTTGGCTTGCTTGGACACCTTCACTGACCCATGTGCTCTACCATCTTGGCTTGCTTTGGACACCTTCACTGACCCATGTGTCACTTGGGACAGCTCTACCATCTTGGCTTGCTTGGACACCTTCACTGACCCATGTGTCACTAACCATCTCATATCTCATTGGGGTATCCATTATGGACAGTGGGTGCATAATTGACCTGGAAAAAGATAGATAAGGTTATCGAGTTTTGTATCTATCACGCCCGATGGGACTCGAACCCACAATCGCTTGATTAGAAGTCAAGCGCCTTGTCCATTAGGCCACGAGCGCTTATATCAAGAATTGCTTTATGTATGATGACCCATGTGTCACTTGAGACAGCTCTACCGACCCATTCAAGTAGGTGCATAATTGACCTGCAAAAAGATAGATAAGGTTATCGTCGGGGATTTCGATTTTTGTATGTAAGTTCCAACTTTCGAGATTTAGTTTCTTAAAGATTACAACAAAAATAAATAAATATAGTCAATAATTTGGAAATCATCATGCCCGATGGGACTCGAACCCACAATCACTTGATTAGAAGTCAAGTGCCTTATCCATTAGGCCACAAGCGCTTATGTCAAGAATTGCTTATGCATGATAACACGTGCCTAGTAGTCCTGCACATGTCATATGTGTGATATGTCTTGATATGTGATATTAGGTCACTATATATCAACAAGGTGAACCTGCTTTTCGATAACTTAATTAGAGGAATTCTAAAGTTAGGCCACAAGCGCTTATAAGCATGTAAATGGGAACAATCGAGTGTAGCAACTTCTTATAAGCATATAGCGGTTGAATAAAAAATTAGAGGGGATTTCACGCAAAAATTCGAAACACAATGCCAACTATTAAACAACTTATTAGAAACACAAGACACCAATCAGAAATATCACCAAATTGCCCATCATTCGGGGATACCCTCAGCATCGAGGAACATGTACTCGGGTGTATGTGTGACTCGTTCAGACCATGGACCGGGACAATAGAAAGTACAAAATTTTTCCCGTATCAATGATAAATACGATAGAATGAATGGAAGAACTTCGTTCACCACCTAAAAATAAATAAAAAAGATTTATCATATCCTTTTATTGTGTATCAAATTGAATTATCTAAAGAGGAAAAAATTACAATATAATTCAAACATTTCCTGAATCCTACACCGAGTGATTTTCCAAAAATATAAAGGGAAAAGATCATCGGGCAAGGCGCGAAGATATCACCTTCCTTGGGTTGGTAGTGCGAGGATTGGATAGAATGAAATTGAATCCATTAGAATACGACGATCCCATCTCTGGACACTCAAATCCATTGCTGATTAGCAAAACCCACTTCCAATTCGATTACCCATTTCACCAATTCTTTCTTATTCTTTGTAATTTCTCTTCATCTTGTCGCGATTGCCTATTTTAGATTGTTGCGGTTGGAGTCCTAACGCTTCACATTGATTCAACCTCACGGTTCTTTTATACCGGCCGGTTGTTGCATCGCCCTTTACAGATATCTTATTTTGTTTGTTCCCATTTTGTTATCTTTGAAAAAATGAAAAACCCCTTCCTCTGCATCTCCTCGTGATTTGGGGTTTTCATTTATGAGGTATTGCTTCTTTCTTTTCTTTGTTTTTCGCGCTGATTTTACTGATTTCCTCTGTTTTTCTGGGTTGTTCATCTGTGTTTTGATCGTTTGTTTTGATGGGATCTTTTAGAGTTGTGAATTTGTGTGTTTGCTGTAAGTTCCACCATATGATCTTTGAGCTTATCTGATTATTTGCTTTTGTAACGTTTGTGGGTTTTGTTCAAAATGTGGAATCGTCCTCTTGTAGTTTGTTGATTCAATGAGTGAGCGTCGTTTCTCTTTGAGACAGTCCTTGTTTCTTCTAGTTCTTCTTTAACATTTTGTATTTTTATTTGTAGTTTGTAGGCAATCTGCCTTGCTTGAATGACATTAATAAGTTTTTTGAAAAAAAATTTGATATGTTTGGAAGAAACAAAGTTGTTTTGTTTGATGCTTCCATGAATGCTTTCTTGCGGGTGGTTGCATGGTATGTTAGGAATCACGGTTCTCCTCAATGGTATGATATTATCCACTTTGAGCATAAGCTCTCATGGCTTTTCCCCAAAAGGCTGAATACTAATAAAGATACATTCCTTACTTATAAACTCATGATCATTCCCTATAGCCAATGTGAGACTCCCTTCCAACAATCCTCAACAATCCTTCCCTCGAACAAAGTACACTATAGAGCCTCCCTCGAGGCCTATGGAGCCCTCGAACAACCTCCCCTTAATCAAGGCTCGACTCGTTCTCTGGAGTCCTTGAACGAAGTACACTCTTTGTTTGAAACTTGAGTCACTTTTGACTACACCTTCGAGGTTCACAACTTCTTTGTTTGACATTTGAGGATTCTATTGACATGACTAAGTTCAGGGCATGGCTCTAATACCATATTAGGAATCACGACTTTCCACAATGGTATGATATTGTCCACTTTGAGCATAAGCTCTCATGACTTTACTTTTGGTTTTCTCAAAAGGCCTCATATCTATGGAGAATGTTTCTTTACTTATAAACCCATGATCATTCCTGAAATTAGCCAACGTGAGACTTCTCCCAACAATCCTCAACATGATACAGCAACAGTGTCTCAAGAGCTCTTTTGTGGTATATTCAAAATGAAAGAAAGAATCAATAGTAGAATAGTACTCTGCCATGGTACAGACCTGGGTACGATTCCCGGCTGGTGCACCTTGCAATGATGATATTTGTGCCTAGAAAGTTGATCACATGGGTCATCCATCAACATTATCCAATAAAAAGAATGAAAGAATCGATAGAATTTGCAATGATGTTTTTTACATTGCACAGTTTAAGTCTCATATTTTATATGATAATTCTAGACTGGATGCATTTAGTTTGGCCCCAAAAGGAAAATATAAACTATGGAACAACTTTAGCTAAGTGATTCGTGTGCTCTTTCGTGGGAAGTTCAGATTGATTGCTTAGAAATTTTTTAAGATGGAATAAGGAATGAACTAGATTTTGGATGTTATGCTGTTGTACTCTTCTCGATGCCGTTCGTCCTTCATTTTGTGAGGTTAATTGCCGCTTATGAACATTGATTGCTTAAGCACAGATTTTGTATATCACTATCCTTTATATTTCTTTCTAACTAGCTTCATATTTGGTCAAGAAGGGATAACAACATGGAGTGAGGGAGCAAATAGTTTATTCAGTCCAATATACAGCAATCTGCCGATTGTTATGTAGCCAAACAAAACAATGGCAATGTCTTTGAAGACTGTAATGGCTATTAAATCTTACCAAAGTCAAACTGATGCATTGGTAAAGAACTACTTATTAGCGGACCGTTTTATCCCGTACACCTCTGTTCTTGGAGGCATGCTTGCTTGTAAATTGGTATGTATCACCTTTTAGCTCATGCTAGATATTAGGACAAAATGCTGCTTCTCTTCAATTAGGACACATTAAAAATTTTGGGTTTCCTCGTGCAGGTATATGATCTTACTCAATTAGTTAGCAATTTTTACTTCAAGAGTTATCTGGGTCTTACGAAAATTCAACGAGTCGAGTGGAATAACCGGTGAGTTTAGTATCTTTGATTGTCCATTGCCTTCATAATCTATTCAGTGGACTGTTGTGGCCATTACTGATATTTTGAACTAAAATTGGCAGCGGTGTGTCCACTATTCATGCAATATATATCTCAATTATGTCATTGTACTTCGTTTTCTGGTCAGATCTCTTCTCTGACCAGCGTCACGCTAGCCTTCTTACCTTTCAAAGTTCGACGTTGTCTACGTTCATATTGGGGGTAAGCTTTCTATTAGCTAATCTTCAATGAATGTCAGCTTCCTTTTGAATTGTTTGATGTTTTAGATAACTGAAGTTTCTAAGCAGCATGTAAGCAGTGAACGATGAGGAAACGTGCCAAAAGGTTGTCGGTCCAACGTTTTCTTGTGGATTGTGTAAAGGCCATATGTTAAAAGAAACTAAGTCCCAATGTTAACCACCCTATGTTAGTGATTAGTAGTTGCTTTCATCTATTGAGGTGTATTAAGTTATCCAAAATGTTCTTCAAAGCTAAGAACTCATCAATGGATGAAATGGGGGTGGGCTGCAATAATGTTAGAAAGATAGAGGCAGCCTGAAAGGAGGCGCCATTAGCAAAACTCGGTCCTGGAGATCCAGCTCAACCATGCTATTCGATATAGCAGTAGGAAGGCAATGCAAACACGTCGCAAAACAATGATTCGCAACGTGTTGGGAAATGAAACAAGGATGATATTAGATCTTTGCTTCAACATTGTTCGTTTTAATCAAAAAGTTGAACCTTATCTGTATTATACTTAGTTGAATGAGGGAACCTCTATAATCCAACATGACATGGCCATATTTGAACAGACATTTGTGACATGAGAGTTCGGTGGTCGTGCCCACCAATGTTTGATTTTCTGTTTCTGATTTGAGGATAATGTCTACGATGGCAGACTTTTCGAGTCATTTGAGCTTCTATTCTGTTTTCCTTGAATTTTTACTGAACATTAACTAAAATTCTAATCATATACCCTTTTCCAGATTTCGGTTGGATACTTTTTGGCAGATCTCGGATTGATCATTTGGCTGTATCCGTCTTTAGGCGGGATGGAATATGTAAGTACCTTCGCTGCTGATAGCGCTTCAAATTTGACAAGAGTCGTGCATAATTACGAAACTTCGATGATAGGTTGTCCACCACTCTCTTTCCGGGCTAGCAGTAGCATATTCTGTTTTTTCTGGAGAAGGGCAACTCTATACATATATGGTTCTCATTTCAGAGATTACAACTCCTGAGATTAATATGAGATGGTAGGCTTTCGTTATGATATTGATTCTTAATTTTATAAGTTCTTCCTCTGAATTCTTTCATATTTTGTGAAGGTATCTTGACACAGCTGGTATGAAGAGATCCTGTGCATATCTGATTAATGGCTTTGTAATATTCTTTGCATGGCTGGTGAGTTAATGGTCTGAAGGTCATCTTGCCTGTTTTTTTATATATAAAATGGCGTAAACACGACCGTCAATAGCTCGACGACATGCTAAAAGATCCTAAAGAATTGGATTTAACACAACTGAACATGAACTACCACAGCATATAGTATGTAACAGCCCAAGTCCACCGCTAGCAGATATTGTTCTCTTTGGGTTTTTCTTTCGGGCTTTCCCTCAAGGTTTTTAAAACGCGTCTACTAGGGAAAGGTTTTCACACTCTTATGAGGGTGCTTTGTTCTTCTCCCCAACCGATGTGGGTTCTCACAATCCACCCCCCTTTTGGGGCCCTGCGTCCTCGCTGGCATTCGTTCCCTTCTCCAATCGATGTGGGACCCCCCAATCCCCACCCCCTTTTCGATGTCCAGCATCCTTGTTGGCACACCGCCTCGTGTCCACCCTCCTTCGAAGCTCATTCTCCTCACTGGCACACCGCCTCGTGTCTGGCTCTGATATCATTCGTAACAGCCCAAGTCCACCGCTAGCAGATATTGTCCTCTTTGGGCTTTCCCCTATTAGGCTTCCCCTCAAGGTTTTTAAAATGTGTCTACTAGGGAGAGGTTTTCAGTCTTTTATAAAGGGTGTTTTGTTTTTCTCTCCAACCGATGTGGGATCTTACAATCTACCTCCTTTGGGGCCAGCATCCTCGCTGGCATTTGTACCCTTCTCCAATCGATGTGAGACCCCCCAATCCACCCTCTTTCGGGATTCAACGCCCTTGATGGCACACCGCCTCGTGTCCACCCTCCTTTGAAGCTCATCCTCCTTGCTGGCACATCGCCCCATGTCTGGCTCTAATATCATTTGTAACAGCCCAAGCCCGCCACTATCAAATATTGTTCTCTTCGGGCTTTCCCTTTCCGGCTTTCTCTCAAGGTTTTTTAAAATGCGTCTACTAGGGAGAGGTTTTTACGCTCTTATAAAGGGTGTTTTGTTCTCCTCCCCAACCGATGTGAGATCTCAAATAGTAGTATTCGAGTTCATATCTTGTTTTATGATTGGATTTTCTTGTATTTGGATTGGTGTTTACATGCTTGGTGATGGGTGTTTATAACAGGTTGCTCGCATTCTGCTGTTTGGTTACACATTCTATCACGTTTACCTGCACTATGATCAGGTATTTTCAAGATCAATTATGCATATTTTTCAGTGCTTATGGCTTTGTTCATTAAGTTGTAAAATGGGAACATTGATCTCATTGCAATATGTTCTCTCATTTAACTCGATCACGATATGGATAATCGTGTTATGCAGGTAATTAAGATGCATGTAATAGGATATATTTTGGTATTTGGAGTGCCGACCATGCTAGGGATAATGAACTTAATGTGGTTCGGGAAGATCGTGAAGGGATTAATGAAGACGATATCGAAAAGGCGATGAGAAACATGTTCTTGTGGTTCATATCAATCTGCAAATGGGTTGAGGAGGAAAAGGGATTTGATGCTATGCAGTGTGTTGTAAATGGCTCATAATGACTTTAAATTCGTTGAGGCATTTTTAGTGTCTTCTTCCTCTTGTCAGTTCTGTGTGCCAATTCATTCTTTCTGTATAGTTCTTGTCTCTCTTTTTCCTGAAATGTATGGAAGAAATGTGATGATACCGTTGCAATTCTTTTGTGTTCAGATATATTTACGATCTCGGTTTGGTTTGGTTCGGTTCTTGGTTCTCCCTTCTTGATCTCGGGCACTGTTCTACTTTTCTTCCGCCTTGTCTATGGCTTATGGTTTACGAAATCTCTCGAGTAATTTGTTTGAAATCTGAGATGCCTTCTGTTTTGCTTTCGACTTGGTTAAAGAGCCCCGGTGGATTGGTAATTTGAATGATTCGAATGGAGTTCACAACTCAACTCACTATATTGGGTTGTAAACCTCTATTTAGGGTACGGGTGTATATGGTCTAGTTGGATTTAGGGTACGGGTGTATATGGTCTACTTGGATTGGGTTGAGGGATTTTTTTTTTATGCAATCCTAAAGTGTTGGATTGGTCCAACCTAACCCGAAAATGGTCCAACCTAACCCGAAAATTTTCACAACCCAATCCTTTATTTTCGGGTTGGGTTTGGTTGGGACGTCGAGTTGTCAAATTTTTTTTAAAAAAATTTTATTTATTCAAAATTTATATAATGATTCAGATACAATCTTAGATAAAATATATTAAAAGTTTACAAACAAAATTAATTTATGATAAAACTAAAAACAGGTAAATACTGACATTTCTTGAGAATTATTGGTTATACACACATCGATTCGATTTATGATAAAACTAAAAACAGGTAAATACCGACATTTCTTGAGAATTATTGGTTATACACAAATCGATTTATGATAAAACTAAAAAAAAACAGGTAAATACCGACATTTCTTGAGAATTATTGGTTATACACAAATCGATTTATGATAAAACTAAAAACAACTAAATACCGACGTTTCAAATTATGAAAATATAAGGAAAAATTAATAAATAAACAATAAAAAATAAGGAAAAATTAATAAATAAACAATAAAAATAATTAGTTTAAAATGTGTATATAACCGAAAAAATTATGAAAATATAAGGAAAAATTATCCAATTAAATAAACATTAAAAATAATTAGTTTAAAGATGTGTATATAACCCCAAAAAATACTGAAATTAAATATAATAAAATAATATAAAAAAAATATTGAAATTAAAAATAATAAAATAATATAAAAGAAGACTACCGCCTGAGTATCCTTAGAGAGGCTGAGGTACTGACAAACCTATTAATATAAAAAAAATATATATATATAATTTATATATTTTTATTTGGCTCGGTTAAATTCGAAGGTTTTATCCACGAACTTGAAACCGAACTGATTCAGTTTGGGTTCAGAAAAATGAACCCAACCCTACCCGAAATGCTAATCCAACCCAACTCAACCCTTATAATTCGGGTTGGGTTGGTTCGGATTGTCGGGTTATCGGTTTGAATGTACACCTCTAATTTGAAGTTGGTTGGATGACCAAGGTAATTCCAACCTGCAAATAGAGTCGAAGTTTCGGTTCTTACAAAAATTCAACTCAACTTAAATTGAATAATTCGAGTTGCTTAGGTCATTCATCGTGGAAAACCTCTAATAAAAATAGTTGAGTTTATTATACATCAAATTTAAATTTATATCTAATAGGTTAATAAAAAAAATTAAATACTTATAAAAAAACAAATTTAAATACTTATTAATACAAAATAAAAAATTATGCACCTATTACACTTTTGAAAGTGTAATGACTAAATAGACATCCATCTTAATTAAAATTGATGACTAAATTTGTAATTGAACTTCGACAAATGTATGTTAAAATTTTTTTACATGCCTAAATAATCGTTTAGTATAGGTATAATTTCCTTCTCATACATCTAGCAGAAAATTACAAACTCGTGTGAGCCACGAACAAAAACAAAAAATTTAACATGAACTTCTTATAAGGGCTTCTTGCCCTTTAAATTCTCGAATAACCCTACTTTCTCGAAAGACCATTTGCAATTCACGTCAGGATGAGTGGAAGTCAGATTAGCTTGGACAATCCATTAGACTTTTAAAGTAAGTCGAGTTCACCTGATACCACATTCAACAGTTGTGTCTATCGGTTTAGAGTTCTTCAACGACAAATTTCTCTAAGATCTCTTTAGTATACTTAGACTTAGAAATAAATATCTCATCTTCATCTAGTTGCATCTCAATCCTTAGGAAGTACTTCATTAGACTGCATTACGTCCTCCACCAGAGGCTTGCTTCAACCCATAAAGAGTCTTCTTCAACTTATACACTTTCTTTTCTTGCCTTTCAGTAATAAAATTCAGTGGTTGTTCAACATAAACTGTTTCTTCAAACATTTCATTCAAGAATATAGACTCCACGTCTATTTGATGTATCTCTGTATCACACGTACTTAGGAGATACAGACGTACTTAGGAGGGTGGATGTGTAGAGTGTGGGGGTGTGAATGGGCAATTTAAACGCGTCGTGGCTGAAGATTCAGTCATTTCCTCGATTGAAGGGTCTATCTATCCCTATTCACAACAATTACTTAGCTGATTGAGAAGGGTTAGATGAAGTATTTTAGGTCGGTCTCTCACATGGACCTTATCAACTTGCTTATGGACCATTCATAATCTCCAAATCAACTCGTTTTCAGCCTAAATTATTACAAAACATAATTGATGGTATGAAACTCGCACAAATTTAATACAAATTTTCTGACCCCAAGTACAAGGCATACTCCAACCCTGACACAACGATGTTACGTACCATTAAGTACGACGATAGTTTCTAAGAATTCAAGGGCAAATCTCATTCGAGTAATATAGTAATAGTTCGGTTATTTCTATTAACTTAACTAATAATAATGCTATTAAGACAAGAGAGTTAAACTACTACTCACATTCACACAACCTCTCCTCTCCTCCTCCTCTCATTTGGGAGTGCTTTTAATTTGCACAACTGTGCATGAGAAGAAGCAAGCCCAAGGTCATATATAAACACATAGTAGTCAGCCACTTTACTGCCAGAGGCTGCATAACAAAGCAATATCTTCTAAAAACAACCGTCAATTTACACATCATAATAAACCCAACATTGCCAACCTCTCTTTCTTTTCCTTCTTTTTCCAATCTTTTCTTTTCGAACGCTCCATACAACTGAAGGACGTGCTGCTGACAGCCTAGGAACCGAGCAAGGACGAAGATCTACGAGCAACATGACGCACTTGCTACCCTTTCGGCAGGTCTGTCCAGAACCATCCCGGGTGCATTCTGTACTGGTTGCACTCGGGGTAATCTCTTAGCTGCATCCGAAAACAAGGAATCAAAATAGTTTTACCTCACCTTTTTACAGTGTGTTTGTGTGTGGTTGAGGGTGGGACTTCTATAATTTTGTGAAACTTCATCCCATTGACCAATTATATGTGAACTCGCATATTCTCTCCTTCTTGAACGACGTATAACTCCTTTTTTGCATCGCAGTCGAAAAACAATTTTCAAAACTCAGGCTCCATAAACTCGAGTTTTATTGAGACCATGATCCAAAATATCCTAAGCAACTAAGATTAACCTGGTTTCAGCTTTTTCTTGGGGGTGGGTCGTTGTTCAATTCAACTCACAAGTCAGTTCTTTACCTATTTCATAGAAGATATCATTGACATTAGCAGCACTTTTTGCAGAGGTTTCCATGAAAAACAAGCCATTCTCCTGCGCATATGTTTGGGCGTCCTGCATAATGCACAGACACATGAGAAACACTTGAACTAAATATAGCAATTTTGTCCAAACTACATGATAGAAATTTCAAAGAACAATCACAAAGTTCCAACTCGGGTTGATATTCACAAACAAAAAGATATTTCTGTTTATAAAAATGCATCCCAGTTCAACAAAGTAACACCGTAGAAAGGAAACAGGGGTCAGGGTACTTGCCTCTGCAGAAACCTTCCTAGAATCCAACAAATCTGATTTATTCCCAGCTAAAGCCATGACCATATTGGGATTGCCTGATGCAAGGGGCATGGTCCGATTGGTAAAAGAATTCAGATAGAGAAGTGTTCACAATAATTTGACCAAGTAAAAGTTAACAAAATGTTAAATTAAGATGCCTTTGCAACAGTAACAACAACAAAGACTACCTTGTGCCTGAAGTTCTTGAACCCATTTTTTTGCCCGATCGAATGAAGCCTGCGATCAATGAGAGGATACTCAATAGAGTTAAAAAGGAAAATGAACAAAGTTCCAATTCAATTACATTAGAGTAATATATAAGAGATGAATAGTACCCTATGAAACCTGATATGTTTAGAGCATGCCATTTTTCAGAAGGGTAAGAACTCATAAAAGTCCTTACTCATAGGTCCTCGCCACCAATACATATACATATATACATATGTACACATACAGATGTATATAGCATCCTATTTAAGGTTCTATACAGCCCCATAACCGTTTTCTTTCTCAAGCACCAATAAGTGACAATTTATTAAACCCTAAATCTCTTAATAACAACTTTACGAATCCCAAACCAGTTTTCTTGCAGTTTCCAAGTATTTTAGCAATTACTTTTTAGCAAAACAAAATGGTTGGTACTTAATTCAATGACATATAACATTACTTCTTTATTCAAGATGTATTTAAGAAAATAGTTGATGAGTTCTGCCACTTACTTGATTGGTAATATCGAAGACGATAATGGCAGCAGCTGCACCCCTATAATACATTGGAGCCAAACTGTGGTATCTCTCCTGCCCGGCCGTGTCCCAGATTTCAAATTTCACAGTTGCATCATTTACAGCCAATGTTTGAGAGAAAAAGGCAGCACCAATTGTCGATTCCTACATAATTGTACAATTTAAAGTAAGAAATATGGTCAAGGTGTAAAAGCCCTTCTGGAAATTTCAATAGCCAAAGCCCTATAATACAAACCTGAAACTCCACAAACTGCCCTTTAACAAAACGCAACACTAGACTTGACTTCCCAGCACCAACATCACCAAGAAGCACCTGAACACAAAAAAAGAGTAAAACCACCTGAATTTAGTATGAGTTATTAAGAAATCATTTTAGTTAAACATAGTCCACCAGCCATTTCCTTGTTTAACAAATAAAATTCCGAGGGAAAATTGGATAATAAAAGCAATGGCAGCATAATATGAAAATGAACTACAATCAAGTTGCTCAGATTCAATGGTTCAATGGTTCCATAACACTGTAATCACGCAGTAACAGCAATATACATCGAAGAAATTTAATGATTTAATTTCCGAAGTTGAACAGAGAGGGGAAGAAAATGTAAAACCTCGAAAAACAAAAAGGGATACCGTCTTATAAAATTGATTGCTGAAACCAAGGGCTACAGCCACGATACTACTTTACTTTTTGCTATATAAATTACAGAGAGTTAGCTCCGAGATCGAAACCAAGTTACAAATTGGAAAGTACATAGATATGCAAACAAGGATTTCAAAAATACAACCGACAAGACATACAGCAGAGAGTAGAACAGGCTTGTGCAAGCCACAGAATTCTGATAGGATCAAACCAGAAAGAATTCCAGTTCATCGCGAAGAAAACAAAACCCCAGATCAGAATTAACACACAAATCGAGGACACTAAAAGGGATTAAGCCAAACAAGACCTAATCGAATCATCAACGAAAGGTACTAGGATAACCAAACCGAATTCGGGAAAAAGAAAACCACAGAGATCCACAACGAAGTTAGCATCAAAATCTGGACAGAAAAAGAGAAATCAAGGTTGGAGAAGGAAAAAGAGGAGAAAAGACTCACCAATTTGGCATTAATGTTCTTGTTTCCGCTGGTGGCCATGGCCGTAAACCGCAATCGAGAGAAAAATCGAAGAGAATCGAGGAAGAACAAGCGTTGACGGGAGGAAAAGATCTAAGAAAGACGAAAGCAAAAACCAAACAATAAGACAGATCGCCTCTCTTGGAAGCGAAAAATCCCTCTTTATTTCTCTCTCTCTCTTTTCCTCCGCAAGCAAAAGATGAACAATAACAACTTCAATACCACACGACAGCGATTGAAAATTAATTTTAAATAAATATTTTATTTTCGTTCCTTTCTCCTTAATTTATCATGGAAAAGACGCATTTACCCTTTTCAAAAAACATTAAAAAATAATTTTAAGAAGTCATTTTCAAAAAATATATATTCAAACCGAGTTAAAAATCTTTAAATATTTAAAAAATAAATAGTTAAATATTTTACGAACTAACTTCAATTATATTAAAAACAAAATTATGAATTAATCTCCGAACAACTCAAACTAACCTAACAAAAAAAAAATATTAAGGTTGAGTTCGGTTGGGTTCATTATTTAATAAATGGTTATTTCGGTAAAAAAAAAAATTCACAACTCAAATAATTGAGTTTGGTTTAAAAAATGACGTAACCCGACCCTACTCAATCCAAGAATATTCCTATAGTTGTTCACTCTTGATCTGTTTTTTTTTTTTATTTCTTATTCAGTTTCATCACACATCCCGATCAGGGTGTGTAAAAGAGGGTGTTGAAAAAGAATGAGTGGACGTAATTGCTCTTTGTCTTTTTTTTTTTTTTTAATCGAACCCTAACTTGGTTCAAGCTGGAAGGGTCCGAGGGAAGATGCTTAACAAATCCAAAGAGGGTGAAGCTCCATTGTTCAAGTTCCGAAATCAATACTTAAGAAAATTATTCATCTAGTAAGATTATAGTCGAGTTCTCAAAATTGTAGGGTATATTGAATTAGTTGCAAAAGTCTGAGCCAACAAATTAAAGAACAAACCCTCCGTACACGATTTCATAACTCATTCAAGATTAAAATTGAATCATTTATGATCGTAATGTGAAATATTAATTTTTTCAATTAATAGACTTATAACGAAATTTTCTCGATTTATAACGAGAGATTAAGCAAACTCTTGTAGAGGACACTCCACTCACATGTCAAATCATTTGTAATAATTACATGATAGGTCGTATCAATACTCTTACTAAATACGACATTTAACCTTATCCATATATTATAGACCGTTTAGACTATTACTTAAATATGATATCCTCCGATATATAAACCACATCTCATTCAAAATTACAATAATAACCTTGAATTTTACAAATCACAAATAAAATGATCAAAATTATTATTATAAATTAAAGTTCTAACGGGCACGAAAAACAAAACAAACACATAAGCAAAGATGGAAGAAAAGACAGACAAAAAAAAGTAAGAAAAAATCAGGGTCTGAATTATGTTCCGTTGACAATGTACATTATTCTGTCATTCTAATTTCTCGAGCCGTACTAACTTAGTCGAGATTTTATAAAATTATATTCTTTTGGTCGAGAAAAAATCAATAATGAATTAAACTAATGCTATGTGCATTTGATTTTTTTTTTAAATATATATAAATCTATGATCATTCCCTAAATTAGTCGATGTGAAACTTTCATCCAACACCTCCCCTCGAAAAAGTACGCCTCTCCGTAGAGGCTCGACTTCTTTTTCTTTTGGAGTGTTCGTCATTTTTTACTACACCTTTGAGGAGTCCGAATCCTTTTTTGTGTTTGGAGTTCTTTGTTCGACATTTGAGAATTCTATTGACATGGCTAAGTTTAGGGCATGACTCAAATACCATGTTAAGAATGATTCTCTAATATTATGTTAGTTGAACACGACTCTCCCTAATGGTATGACATTGTCTACTTTGAGCATAAGCTCTCATGGCTTTGCTCTAGGCTTCCCCAAAATGCCTCATACTAATAGAGAGAGTATTCCTTAATTATAAACCCATGATCATTCCCTAAATTAGCCGATGGGAAAGTCCAAACCAAAGTCATGAGAGCTTATGCTTAAAAGTGGACAATATCATACCATTATGGTAAGTTTGGTTCATCTAACATGGTATCAGAACATTATTCTCTTCTTCTTAAAATTTAATAGGTAAAGTCGAGGATTATAAAAGAACAAAGGGCAAACATGGAATTTTTTTTTTTTTAAATTAATATATTTGATTTTTTTAAAATTTGTATAATTTGTCAAACATCAGCCAGCCGAAGGTACACGCGGTGGGTCGGTGAATATAGTTTACTTTTAGATGTCGGCTTAAAATTTGATAAAATAGGCATTTAAATCTAAATTTTAATTTTAAAAATTTTAAAATTAAGGGTAGGAGATTTAAAAAAAACATATATATATATATATATGTTTATTTATTTATTTTATTTTATTTTTTTCACGGGAACACAAAGTTAAGGCGTTCAAACAAAGTTGACCACTCCACCCAAGTGGACAATTCAAGTCAAACATAACATGCCTTGTTTGAATTTATTCAAAATTTAATTAATTAAAAATATATTCGTTATAAAATTCAAATCATTGGCAGAACCAGACTCAAATCCACGAATCAAACCTAGCAGACACGTGCATCCAGCCCAAGCTCATAGGAAGCTTCTGGGTCACAATCTCAACTTTGAGCATAAGCTCTCATAGCTTTGCTTTGGGCTTTCCCAAAAAGCCTCGTATCAATGGAGAGAGTATTCCTTGATTATAAACCCATGATCATTCCTTAAATTAGCGGATGTGGGACTTTCATCATCCAACACACATAAGCGTACGAAGCATAAGACACTAGCCCTGCCCAAGTCATGCGCGACCAGAGAACCTTCCAGCCCCACAAGTAGCCCAGTAACCTCGGCGTTTAGTCCAGTGTCCAGCACAGCCCCAACTTCTCCATTGCGTCTGTACGACCCCTCCAAGCCACTTCCAGACGCAACCAACTCGTGGCCACTCCAACTAACTTCCCTCTGCTCTATTGGATGAAAGTCCCAAGTCGACTAATTTAGGGAATGATCCTGAATTTATAATCAAAGAATACTATATCCATTGACATTAGACTTTTTGGGGAAGCCCAAAGCAAAGCCACCAGAGCTTATGCTCAAAGTGGACAATATCAGTGGACAATATCATACTTCCCTCTGCTCAAGTAAGCCAAATTTTGCTCGATTTATCTGTTTTGGATCATTCTAGTGCATTTTAAACCTAATTAAGGTCGGTTTCTCATTATTTGGGGTTGAATTTAGGATAAATGGAATCTGTTAGAGATGAACTTATGAACGATTAGCTAAGGGACACTTTGAAATATAGAGTCAAGCTTCAATGTAAGTGAACTTACTGTGGAATACATACGAGTTAAATTGGATGAAATTTACTAATGCATGAATAACATGTATCATATGACTTTTATTTACGTGCTGTTGTTATGATTATGTGTGATTTTTTTGATACAAGTGCTTTCATAGTACACCCGTGCATGATTGTTATGACTATGTTTATAATTTATGAGCACCACGATGTAAAATGTATGTAAAGTATGATTGAAATACCATGCATATGTATCTTTGATACGGAATTCAAAACATGTCACGTATGACAGCATTATGTGCATTATCTCACTAAACTATGATTTTAGATACGAGACTTCATCTGTCCTTTTGTGCTCAAATGATCGTATTATACTTTATTTTATGTTCTATTTCTTTCTACTGATTTCAATTGGATAAGAGCGTTCAAGCGTATACGAATTCTCCTAATAGGTCTAAATGCATGTGTGCTGATGGTACGTAGAGGAGTATTATGAATCCAAACTGACCCATAAATGAAATTATTGTCCAATGCCAAGATATGAATTTTCGTCCCATTCGCCGTGAAAACATATTTGCATGTATATACATTTTTTGGTTAGTTATCGAGGATTTTTAAATATTCATCGTTTTGTTAATGATCTTTAGGTAAAAGTAAGGGGCATGTGCACGGTTGACAGCTTTTACTGTGAACGCTAAAGTTCTTTAGGAAAGATTTCACATCCATTCATATTTTTTTTATTTTTTGCTTCCGTTTTAAATTTCGTCAATTGAAACATATTTCTAATGCGGGGTTTTTTTTTATTATTAAATATTGACGTTCATTAAATTTCGAAAAAGTATTTCTATTTGAATCAGTTTCGTAGTAACAATCTTATAATATTTCAGCTATGCTCACAAAAGGTAAGAACACTTTGACCAACCCACTTCTTGGCATCGTCATAAATTTATGATACGAGGAGCCTAGACCAACGCCTGTCCTCTTAAGTTTAGAAATCTGAATCAACAACATTTGTCCCGTGAATCAACACTCTCATAAAAAAATCTGAATCAACGTCATCTATACTCCTACCCGAGAATAAATTGTTTTCTTGTCCATTAAATTTAAATATAAAAAAAAAATTAATCCAAAATAAAAACAAAATGAACAAGCCAAAAATATACAACTTTTAGAAGTTTGGTAGGCATGAATTAGCGAGCCCTGGGTGTGGGGTTCGAACCCTAGAACGGGCCCCACAACAGGCATTTGTTGTATTATTAAAAAGTGACAGAGAGAGCTAAAAAATTTGTCCTGTTTTTTTGTAGTAATGACACAAACACAACACAAACTGTCCTATAAACTACACTGTCCCTTATTTTTTTGGGATTCTATTCTTCGAAAAACGAGGTGGGCCCACTTGTGTTGTCGTTGTCGTGATCATCGTCGGTAGCCGAGGGTGGTTGGTTTACGAGAATAGGGTGAAGACAAGCAAGGTAGCGACGATGACGAGAGAGGGAGGGAAAACGTATGAGACTAAAGATGATACAAAGCGTGAAGTTTATTTTGTTTACTTTTTTATGATGCTATGATTTTTAGACAATTGATAATACTAAATCGAGGCTGATAGGAACGTATTTAAAAAAAAATGAAAGTTTATAAATATTTTTAAAATATAACTGATTGGAGAGAAATAATATTTGTATTATACCAACTCTAAATAAATAAAAAAAATTATTGTTTGCTTTTTAATAAATGAAAAGTTAGTGAGGATTAATTTATTACAATTAAATAATTAATCATGTTAATTCAATGCATTATTGTAAAAAAAGTTTTATATAATGCAGTTGATTATGTTAGAAACCACAACTCTCCACAATGATAAGATATTGTCCACTTTGAGTATATGCTCTCATGGCTTTGCTTTGGAGATATTGTCTAAGTAAGCCTCCCGTTAATCAAGGCTAGACTCCTTGGGAGTCTTAGTCATTTTTTACTGCCTTCGAGAAGGCTAGACTTCTTTTTCTTTTGGAATCCTTTGTTCGACATTCGAGAATTTACCAATCTATTGGAAGGCTTGACTCCTTTTTCTTTTGGAATCCAGTTTAGGGAGACTTGACTCATTTTTCTTTTGGAGTCTTTTGTTCGACATTCGAAGATTTACCAATCTATTGGTATGACTAAGTTTAGGACATGACTCTGATACTATCTATTGACACGACTAAGTTTAGGGCATCGCTCTGATATCATGTTAGGAATCACGACTCTCCACAATGGTATGATATTGTCCACCTCGATTGTAAGCCTTCATCGCTTTGCTTTGGGCTTAGAGTATTCTTTGTTTATAAAACCATGATCAGCAATGGATGTCAGACTTGTATCATCCAACCGATTATAAAAAAAAGTAATAATTAATTAGTTTTAAAAAATAATTAAAAAAAAAAAAACATGGTTTTTGCAGGATATATCAAATATTCCGATGGCCACAGAAGTGTGCCCCATTTGGGCTCCACACTTCCACTTCCCCAAATCTGTACTTCCTGCTCTGTAACTCTCTTTCCTGATTAGATTGTTTCGTTTCGAACCCTTTATTCCTTCCCTCTGCCGCCATCTCCTTCCCTGACGCAGGCCCCATTTTCTCATAACCCTTTTCCCCTTTTCCTCCTCCATCAACGCCCATGATTTCTTTCGCTTCCTTTCGCTTTTGAATCAAGCAACTCATGTGGGTTCCTCTGGATTTCGCTTTTTTTTTTTCTTCTTGCATTTCATGTGAATCCCATTTCCCTTTCCTTTCCACCCTTCGTCTCTCTGTTGTGTTTTCCTCTGTTCTTTCGTTGTTCTTCATTTTCTCGTCTGTGATTCTCGTTTTTAGATTTTGGGTTTTGGGTTCTTGAATGGTAGCATCTATTTTGCATTCGTTTCTCTGTTTGATTTGATTTTTGAGCTCTCAATCTGTTGAACCACTCGGATTTCTTCATCCCCTTTGAATCGTTTAATCGTTTTAGCATCTCGATTGATCCTCGTTTCTTACTTTTGTCAAAGCGTTTTGATGATTTGTTCTTGTAGGTGTCTTCTAGGTGCTTGGTTTTAGATTAAGGATTCTTCTGATTCAAGATTTTGCCCTGTTTGATTACTCTTTTTTGGGTTTTTTTGATCACATATTTCATGATTCGAAATGGGTTTCTCTCGATTTCTTGAATTGATTTGAGGGTTGTTATGATTTCTCCAGCATTGATTTGATTGTGCTGGAATAGCCAAAGGATATGGTCTCTGTTTGATTTCTTGCAGGGTACTTATGAATTGAAATTCTAAATGGATGTTCAATCGAATGGTAAACGCTCTGTACTTTGCCTTCGTTATCTAAATTCCAGGATCTGTAAATGCATTGCTATACTACTTGTTCTTCTGATTGTTAGAGCTATTGTCTTTCCGTTCTCGAGTTTCGATCGGATCGAAGAGAATGGCTTAGTAGTCATCCGAAATCGATCTCCATTTCGCTTAGATAAGTTTTTGGAGGTTCCTCAGATTGTTTGGGGTTTAAACAATCAAAAGATAGCATTTGCAAGAGCTTGTTTGACTGCAAGAATGTTGAACCGCACTCTTTTGATGCCTAGTCTTAGTGCCTCCCTGTTTTATAAAGAAGTTGAGCGTTTGGAGCCGATTTCCTTCGATAAGATCTTTCGATATGAAGAGTTTAATTCTCGTTGTAACGGATTTGTTCGATTGGGACGCTATATGGATGTAAGTAATCGAACAAAAGCGATCGAGATACCGAAAGGAAGCGGAAGGAAGTGGACAGTCGAGAGGGATTTCGAGCAATTGAAGGAGTATAGCAAGGAGCCATTTGATCAGGCAGAGGTGGTTAGAATAGAGGGTAAGAATCCATTTTTGTGGCATGATCACTGGCCCGTAAAGGACTACGCCAAGGTTTTCGAGTGCTTGGTTTTGGTCGACGAGATCGAGAAAGAAGCTGATAAAGTGATCTCCAGGATTAGAGAAGTAGGATCCAAAGTAAGAAGCAAACTCGACTCGAGTGCTACCGGTGCTAAAGCTCGGATGTTGTTGCAACCGGTACCATATGTTGCAGTCCACATGAGAATCGAGATCGACTGGATGATTCACTGTAAGAAGTTAGAGAAGAGATCTAAGATGAACCAAATTTGTAGTAGCAAGGAGGAGATAGTGAATAGAGTAGGCAACATTATCGGAATGAAAACGCCAACGGTGGTTTATCTCGCGGTTGCAGATAGTTTACTTAACGATTCTTCGATTTCAAAAGGTTGGAAAGACGGGTTTGTACCTATAGAAAAGAGGAAATTGGGGATTGATGAAATCTACAAGAAGTATCCATACCTCGTTCAGTCAGCAATCGACTACGAAGTTTGCTTGAGAGCTGATGTGTTCGTAGGAAACAGTTTCTCTACGTTTTCGAGTCTCGTGGTGCTTGAAAGAACGCAAAAGCTTACGAAAACGGGGGTTTCGAATCTATGTGGTACTAATGTAAGATGGCGTTCGTATGCGTATAACATATTAGGAGATTCAAATGGGGCTCGGAGATGGATAGCTGATATGTCTGATTTGAGCCTCGAGAAAATTAGCTATGGCTCGAACGATACCTCTTGTCGATGATCGGTTATTTGATGGCTCGAGATTGAAGTTGTTGACTTTGTTTCGAGTTCTTGTACCATTTGTACATGAAAAGGAAAAACAGAGGATGGTTAAAGAGGGAGAATTAGGGGAATTTGATTGTTTTATTAGAAATAATAGATTGATTTATTGTTTTTATGAGTCGTTAATTTATTTGAATTGATTTTGTACAAATAAATATTCATTGATTTATAGATGTGATTGCAATAGAGATGTTTATTTAATTTGTGGGATTGGAGCTCGCACGGGTCCGTTTTGAATATTTAATTTGTGGGATTGGAGCTCGCACGGGTCCGTTTTGAATATTTAATTTGTGGGATTGGAGCTCGCACGGGTCCATTTTGAATATTTAATTTGTGGGATTGGAGCTCGCACGGGCCCGTTTTGAATAGGGTGGGAATTCTCCGTTTTAGACGGAAAATGAGGGATTAAATTCCACATAAATGTAGCTTTTAGTACTAAATAGACTAAAATACAAATTATTTATTTATTAATCTGAAAAAAAAATTAATCATTATTTTTTGTGCTATTTTTTTTAGATTTAAAAATTATGTAAATTAATTTTATATTTTATTTATTAGGGTAAAATTTGTTTTTATAAATTAGTTTATACTTTATTTATTATTTTAGGTGAAACAAAATAATTATTTACATAAAAGGTGATTTAATTAACATTAATTATTATGAAAAGTATACACTATTTTTTTAAGATGATTATTTTTTTTTATAAATAGAGAAAAGGGGATTAAAAAACAAAAAAACAAAATATTTGAAAATCGTTAAAAAATTAAGTACCACGAAACTAAACTGTTACAAGCCAAAATTTAAAGACTAAATCGATAATCCCATAAACGTTCGAAGGCAAAAAGAAGAAGAACCATCGAGATCTCGTCCGTTCTTAATTTCAAGAGGACGGGTTTAACTTTTCCACCTTGGACATAACTCAACTGATTGAAAAATATACTCTCGACCGACCGACCAACCAAGAAGTTTCGAGTCCAAAACTCGAACAAAAGCAAAAACGAGAAGAACAATGAGACAAACTCAGAATGAGCACATAATTTTCATTTTGATTAAATTCTTCACTATTTCTTCTTGTCTTCTCCTTTTCCTTTTTCTTTTGTTTGAAACAGGAAAGAATCAAACAGACAAAGCTCACATTCTTGCATAACATTCCTTCATTCTATTCTAATCTAATGCAATGAGGACCTCTGAGGGTCACTTCATAATTTCCAGTATATGATTCAATATGATTCAACAGACAAACAGAGCAGCATCGTAACTAACGATCGAAACGCCAAGCTGTGCGGCGGAGTGTAAATGAGGTATCGAGGGAGGCAAACTAGAGTGAGAGACTCTTTTACCTCCCCCTTTTATTTTTCGTCTAAGAATCGATATCATTGTACATAATCTTCATAGTAGTTATCACTTATCACGGAAACGAACCTCTCAAGCCATGGAAGTTGGTGTAGGTCCTTCATCGTGTCGACGTAAGAGTCTGTACATCGTGGTGGCGATTGATACGGTTGGTGGTCGCTCAGACTGAATCCCCCAGCCAGGAATCGTTGGATTAGTGCTAACTGTGATCTCTCTTGCTCTGAGTATGCGTCCGTTATCATCGGGAGGGAATTAAAAGTTTCCCATGCCCACTGCTCGGATTCTTGGATGGAGTGGGTAACCAAGTCCTCGGAGTTATCGTCATCGTCATCGTTGTCGTCGTCGTCCCAAAAGGCGCATTGGCAGGTCTGTTGCTCATCTTGGTACTCAGCACCACAAGAATAGCAGAATTCATGCCCGCACCTGCAACATATCAGTATAAGCATTGAATTCATATACCTAAAGAAAACCCTGCACCTAGTTTAGTAAAAACTAAGCATTGCAATTCGCAGATTACGTTTACGACGTGCAAATATCAAGCCACGTGAGCCTGGCCATAGATTATAGACCATACCGTGCATATATCAAATCACGTTTACGACGTGCAGATATCAAACAACATGTGCCTGGCCATAGATGTATAGACTATGCATGCAAATATCAGATCACATTTACGACGTGCAAATATCAAACCACATGTGCCTGGCCATAGATGCATAGACCATACATTCCGTTTATGACGTGCAAACATCAAACCACATGCCAGACCATAGATGTATAGACCACACGTACAAATATCAGATCACGTATACGACGTGCAAATAACTATTTAAAGTGCCTCTAACTTTCTAATCAAAGCCAATCCTTCAAAAAAAAATCTAACATCCCACTTAACTTGTGACATATATTCACGATGATTCCGGTGTTTCGACGATTATCTCATAAACCGACACGTTAACATAAATAACGAGAGATTTGCAGGAAGTAGCATTACCAGCATGTCATATGGTAGCAGCCTTGAGCCAATTCAATCATCCTACGACACTGCTGACAACGTCGCCACCTTTTGTTTCGTGCAAGACGATGTAAGGTAATATCAGCAATGTCTCTTTCCTCTAATGGGATGTCCTGAAACTCTTCACAGCTCATTGATGAATGCCAAGGAACACAACATTCAACACAAATAAACCTCTGACAAACTGGACATTCAATACAAGTGTTGTCCGATTGACTTGACGAACTTGCCCGAGCTGACAAACATTCGCTCGGGTCTAACAGAACAGAGCAATTCGGATAAGGGCAGTAAATTTTATCCGAGTGAATATTCGCTTCGGCTAAGGTATTCTCCAACAATTCATATAAAGTCAAGGGAAGAAAAGATTTAAACTCATTGCTTGTGATGTAATATTTGCATCTCAGCTGAGGGCATCTGATAGGAACTTGAGATGTCTCTAATTTTCCATCAACATAACTCTTCATACAATGAGAGCAGAACTTATGACAACACTTCAACGCAACCATCATAGCGGTCGGTTTGTTCTCACAACAAATCGAACAATTCTCAACTGATGTATCTCCCTTTTGTGGACAAGAAAGAACCCCAATAGCCACTTTCGCGAGATGAAATGGCTGCTCGAGGTCCGAATGCGACGAAAGGTTCAGAGAAAACGCTTCGAAAGTGCTAGTATGCTCTAGAATCCTTTCTTTCAGCGCTACAAGAAGCGGAATTTCAGGCTCCTCTTCATTTGTTATCTGTCAAACATTCACATATCTTCAGAAAACGCACATAAATTTAAGAGTTTATGCAATCTTTCAAGCAAAGTTACGCAGGTAGGGGAAGTAATAACCTGATTATATAACGTATTGGAGTCGGTAAAAGCTCGAATAGAGCGGACGCCATTCTGTATGGCCTCAACCAATCCATCCATCAAAGCTAAATAATCAGCAACTAGCTCATCAACATAGAAATCAAGCTTTTTCTGGACCTGAATAAAAGGGACTTTCCCTGATCTTTCCATGAACACTCCAATACCAGAAAGACCAGAAGACGGATCACCGACCTCGGCTATCGAAACGCCTTTAAAGAACATTTTCACCGAAAACTCATCAAGATCCTCCTCCTCCTCAGACCCTTCTTCCACCACATCCTCATGATCTTCACAACAACTTCGAAAATCTTCAACATCATCTTCCTCAGCTGGACCAAACATCTCACGATTCTCCATTTTGTTAAAAAATTTCAAACGATCCACAAATCCCAGATGGCAGTAAACAATCGAAGATCCACCAGCAAATGAATTTAAGAACGTTCTTCGCAGTTCTTAATTACTCATCCGCTGTTTAAGAACTCCAAATACACAATCGGGAGCAAGATTTCCCTAATTTGCAAACTGAAGCAACATTCGCTCCTAAAATCACAGAAAACAATATAAATCACTCTGAAATTTCTATCAAATCTATATTCTAGATAAAAAAGCGACAGAATACCCCAACGTAGAATCATTTCATTTCCACATTAGAGGACACAAAATTCCAAAAATCGAATACGAAAAAGAGGAACATGTCCGAATCGGAGAAAACGCAAACAAAACAAGCAGTTCCTGTATTTTCTATGCAAATCAAGATCGACCCATTAATCAACTACCTAATCCACGAAACCCCATTTAAAAAAACCAAACAAAAGTTCACACAAGCTCCGGGATTGGGGGTCGGAGAAAGAAGAAACGGAAGAAAAAAGAAATCAAAGAAATGAATGAATGTTCCATACCATAAGAACTTCAGCGCATGTGAAGGGAATTCTGGGGCCTGGAAGATTTGTCTGTGGAAGAAATGATATTAAAAACAAAAAAAAAAACCCTAATCTGACAAACTGCAAGAATAAGCACCAAAGCAGCGCCCCAAATTCTCTCTCTAGAAAAGAGGCGGATCCATTAATTGGGTTATTCAGAGAGAGAAGGATGGATGGGAAGAAAGAGAGAAAAGGGAAGAATCTTGAGTTACTATTTGCTAATTTGATGCCTTAAGATTAAAGAAAAAATGGGTTTCTTTTGCTGTTTATGGCATTTTCCTTCTCTTGCTCATTGTCCTCGTTGGGCTCGTTCTATAATTTTGCTATGGATAAGGGCTCGTTCTTTAATTTACAATATTTTTGGGATTTTAAAATTTTATAAAAAAAAAGGGAAATAATTACAATTTGGTCACAATTTGGTCGCAATTTGGTCAAGAGGGCCTTTTACCAAAATAAATAATTGAATTAAAAAAGAGGGAAGATTCTTGTTTTGTTGTTATTTTTTAAATTTGTTAAAATAATTTAAATTATATAATTTTTTTTAAAGTATTTTCAAAATATTTTATTTGGTCCTTGGGAATCTAAAAACCAACCACTATAATCCATTATGGAAATTAATCTATTTTAATGATTCCTAAGTTTTTAAGTTATGTTTTTAATTCATAGATTTTGAAATTTACTATATAGTATTTGTTATTATTCTATCCCTAATTATTTGTCTTATGATTCAAAGTTAAATGTGAATATAATTTAGTTGTAATTATCTTGTTGGTTGGAAGCTCGGTATGTTTTAATAAATTGACCAATTCTCAGCTAAGTTGAGTTAATTTTTTTTATTATTTGAATTTTTGGGTTGACACTTTTTTTATTGGGTCAACTCTAGAGCTCGAAATATGATTACAACCCAACTCAACTCAATCTAACTTTATCTTACCTTAAAAAAGATTAAGAATATTTAACGTTTGTAACTAATGTTAATGATAATAAG